AAACATGCACCAGTTTGACCATCTACCTACATAATCAGAGCAGGAGAGACCAATCTGATACACATTCAGGTATCAGTACCCTGTCACTATATACGTGCTTAAAAAGCAAGCAAAAAAAAAAAACCCCAAACAAACCTCTCCTGACCAGACTCTTGAGAGACAGAGTTCTCTGGAATCCAGAAGTCTGCTTTTATGGTACTCAGGGAATCACTGTCCAAAGTAAGCAAGAGCAAAGGGTATCCCTTTTTCATGCTTTTACAAGGTGTAACAGGAGAGGGGACTTTTAATTAGGTGTAGGACAGTCATCAGTAGCTGCTGTGGGAAATGTGACTTAAGTGATGCTGGGCATCATTCACTGTGGGTCACCATTCCTCAATATTCAACTTTCCATTTCTAGTTTTTGATTTCCTAGACTGTATTCCCACATAATTCATTATTTAAGAAGCACTCACACAGGGACTTCAGCATCTCCTTGGGTTAGTAGATTGTTGTAAATTTCTTGTCAGATCTGATAGGAATGTCCTAGAAATATCTGATACTATTTTATGTTAGTATATTCAGTCTCTGAATATCTTTTGGGCCAGACTATTTGAACTCTGACTTTGTGGCTCTTGCAAAGAGTCTTAAGCAGACTGGGCTATCCATCATAGTGAGTCTTCCCAGGAGTATTTTTGGAGAAAATTCTTTTGAAGTTAGTGTTTATTTCCTAGATAAAATCTGAAATTCTTTAGGAATGGGTGAGTCCTAAGCTTGGGACTCATTTTGTGAGTAGCTTGTGATCAGAAGGTTGTGCAGGGTGCTAGCAACTAAACTGAAGAGAAACAACATCTCATGAAAATGATGGGGGAATTTAATACTGATATTTCATGGTCTCAGGTTAATAGTTTAAGTTAAAGAACTTTCAAGAAAAGAAATTAGGAAATTACTGCAAGAATATTGTCTAATCTTTTGACACGACAGTGTAACAATTAGCTGACATCAAAAGTGAGATGACAGTACTCCTAGTTTTGGAGAAGAATGAATTTTATTTTTATTTCATATTTTTCACTCAGTTTGAGAGGAAGTCTGTGTTATCTGAGATTCTCAGGATAATTTTAGTCCTTTAAAATCAGTTATATCTATGCAAGTACATGAGTGGAAAAGTTCTGGCCAAATTTGAACTGGATTTGCTAACTGTTGGAAGAAACATGGGAAGAAAAGATGTTGACAGATTAGATCTGGTGGATTGAGCTGAACCAGTTTTTTTACTGCTACCAATGCTGGCTGTCAGTCTTGCTGTTCTGTTGCAGGTGATTTTCCTCGTTGCACATGTGGCACAAAACTATTTAAGCTAAAAATGGACTATGAACATGGCTTTCAGATTATGTGCAGGTTAGCTGCCCCTATCCTAGATGGGAATGCAAGCTCTTCATTTTAGAGCTGCAGCAGATGGTTTTATTTGAGCCCCCTGTCCTTTTCAAAAGAGCTGTCGTGTTAGGCTCTTACTGAATTACATTTTGCTGTCAGAGAAATGGAAGCCTTTTTTCAGTCAGTCTAGGTGGTATAACTAGAATTCTCTTTGCTCTCAATGCAGCATGCAGAATCATGATTTCATGTAGGTTATTTTAGTTGATTCCTGCTGGTAGGTAGGATCTTGCCGAATTTTGCCAGCTGTAGTATTCAGGTGGACCATTGTGTCACTTTGTGGAACATTCATAGCTAGAATGGTGTAGCAATTTGTCCTAAATACATGCCATTAAAACTTGTGGCATACTTTAAATAGCACATAGAATCACAGAATATTCTGAGTTGGGTCTCACAAGCATCATAGAGTCCCACTCTTAAGAGAACAGCCATACAGGGATCAAACCTACAACCTGGACATCATCGTCATGCTCTAATCAACCAAGCTAATCTCAGTGGCCATGAGGTATTTTGCCTTGCTGCAAGATATGTCTTGCTTTTCTTATTTCTAGATAACTTCCTCAGGTAATGTTATACTGCTTAAGTGCTGTGATCTTAAGTTTGCTTATTCTGGAGGTAGGGCTGAGTTTCCTATGAGATGTCTCACTTGTCACTAGAACAACAGAATGCTTTGTCTTACTGCTGCAGTAAAATCCATTCATGCTCTTGGGATATTGTCAGATGAGTTTCAGTCTGAAACTTGGATAAAATTAGTCTGTAATTTTAGAGATTTCTTAATATTGTTGAAGCCTTTCTGAATGCTGAAGTCTGTTGGCTATCTTCAGAAACTGTTGAAGCACTTCAACTGTTTTGATTCTCTGAGAAAACTGGAGCATGAAGTTTCCAACCAGAGACAGTGATTTGGGCTGGAGAAGGGTATTCATTATAGTAGCATCAACATTCCATTGATAATGAAAATTTGGGAAGTGTCATGTAGTAGCTTCCTGGAGTAGTGGGAAGCCAGATGTATGATGAGGTGAGAAAAGCAAGATTAAGAAATAAACCCTGAGAGCAGTTTTAATATTTAGAAAACTACTTTAGCTGATCTGATCTGCCACTGTTGGGGTCCAGTACAGGGATGCTCTCCAGGGCATCCCATGATGTTTGAGTAAATTACTATACAAGACATTTTGTCAAATGCTAATTTGCAAAAGTTCCTTCAAATGTCATGCTTATAGATCCCTTCTCTTTTATTTTTTGTTCTTATGATACATCATAAGAGGTGAGGAACCAAAACTGTTACTGAACAGACCACAGGGCTGCTCCTCTTCTAGCTCTCCTGGTGGTTTCTGCCCATTATGTTGTGCCAACTCTGCTGTAATGGGGAAAACCCTGTGTTTATGACTTTAGGAGGTGCACTTTAGTTTTCATTATGTTTAAGTCAGTGAATTATTTTGCCAGGTGGATTCACACATCTGTCTGTGCATGCCATCTCAAAGGAGATGGAGGGAGCGCAGACGATGGTGGAATAGGGGTGGCATTAAATCCATGTCAAAAGAGATGGAAGGAGCGCAGACAGCAGTGGAATAGGGATGACATTAAATTAGCATTAACTTGAATTGGCTTATGGAATTGAGAAGTGGTTTATTTGCTTAATTCAGAGAACCATTGATGAATAGTAGGGACTTTGGAAAACACATCTTGAACTTTTTCTTCTCTCAGTTTTAAGGCTTGACAATGTCTTGCAGTCCACTTGCAAGATGCCCATGGAAAAACAAAACAAGTAATTTTTGGTAGTGTTGATTTCTCTTCCGTTTTAATGGCATTATTTTAGTTATTAATGTTGGGATTTCTGTTGCCTTTCCTCTTTAGGGTGTAGAACAAGTTACAAACCTTAGCTAATTGTCTGGTTGTATATATTTTGTTGTGTCTTTTGGGCTTATGTTTTCTTGAGTTTAGTCCTTACTTCCTCATCTTCAAACATTATCTTGTGCATTGTTTCTGACTTGTTTTAAAAGGTGTTTTTTGAGCAACTTTCAAAATTTGAGCTGAGAGAGCAGCATAGTGCCTGCCATAGCATGACAGGGAAGCTTGGAAGAATTCTTTGTAGCTTTTTACCCATTAGGTACACTTGTGTTTCAGTGCAAATGTAAACACTACTTTAATTTTTGAAGTTTGTCATCTCTGTTTTGAATTTCAGACTTCTTTACTTTTAATAGTTCAAGGATCTTTCTTAAAATGCAGATTTGTCACAATTGGAATCCTATAAGGATAGGTCTATTAGAAATGCTAGAGATTTGATTTATAGCTAAGGCAGTCAGAATAATTATAGTATAAAAGTCAGCATGATACATTACATCATGTCCAATTCACAGCATTATTTAGAACCCTTCACCTAAAATGAGTAGCTAATGCAGTGTTTCAGCAAGTCTATATATTTGTCTAAAATGGTCTGGTTTAACAGTGTCTTCATCTGTCATACTATAACCATACTGTATAGTGCAAGCTATACCCTAGTTGTGCTGAATGCTGTATATCACATTGATGATGAACTCTGCCTTTTGAGATCCATCAGTCCTAGGTGATACACAAATAGAAAATACTTGTGAAGGCCAGTGGCCATGTTTGGACTCAGAAGTGTGCCAGCAGGTCTGCTCTGTTCTGAGCTGTCAGTAGGCTTTTAGTGGGTCAGATTAGTGCATGGCACCTGATTAACTTGGAAGTTATCTCCCTTGTGAATTTCTTTTAGTAGGGGTGAGCAGAACAAACAGTAGCTGCCATGTAGGGCTTAGGTTGGCTAATGTGAAGTCTAGAAAATGAGTATATGAAGTAATTTTGCCTAAAGGACAAAGCAGACAAAGATAATCCAGAGAGCATGCCATAAAATTCTGTTCTTTCCCACATCAATCTCGTGAATCACCCTGCACTTTGCTCTCCAAATGAAATGCAAGAAAAAGTGTTCCATGATTTGGGTGTATGGTGAGAAAAGTACAGGGAGGAGTCAAGGACTGCAGGCACAATGATGAGTGAAAACAAACAAGGCAGCTGCTCTGACCAGCACTCTGTCAGAGGGAAAAATGGAATCACACTCTCAGCTTGTTAAGGCCTGCAGTGGGATCTTGTAAATAATATGGAATTGGTTTAAATTATGAAATAATATGGAAAAGAGGATAAATCGGATATGCGTCCTCTTAGCAACCACGATTTTTCTCATGATTTGTATTTTAGTATTTAGAAAGCTAAGCGAGCTGACTTAAAAAGTGCTATGCTGTATTTTCTATTTCTGCGTGTCTGGCTTTCCTGAGTTGCATCATCACTGTATTTAAATTTGCTTGGTGTTTTTTGCTGATGAAAATACATAGCATAAGTAGCCCAGTTCTTTGCAGATATGAACACCTTAAGCATTGGGGTTTTTGTAACTGTTACATTTTCCTTTTTCTGTTTGTTTTTCCTTTTTGTCTGATGTATTTGCTTTGATGTGATGGCATTCTTTTCAGCTTGGCATTTAGACAAAGGTTTCTGATGTGTTCTTGCCATTGTGTGTCATAGCTAGCTTTTAACATTTCACATCAAATTTAGCCTGACTTTTTTGTTGATTTTGTTCTGGTTTTCTACAGTGGACAGGCCAAAATCCCAGCAAATCAGAACTTCTGGTACCATAAGGCGAACTTCTTCTTTGGACACAATAACAGGACCTTACCTCACAGGACAGTGGCCACGTGATCCCCATGTACACTACCCTTCATGTATGAAAGATAAATCTACTCAGGTAAAAGCAGTAAAACAAGACAACAGAGATGTTTCATATAATTGATGTCTACTCAATTTAATTCTGAAGCAATGTGGATTCACTTAATTTTATTAGAGATATGAAATCCTAAAATAAGTTACAGTAGTTTTTTTTAATCTTTGCCAATGCAGTAACATCGTGTGCGAGGATAATATTTTTATGGTTTTAGAAAATAGTTGTTAAAAATAATTTTCTTAATGTGGGCAGATCTATTGAGGCTAAATAACCAATCTCAGCCTTGTATCTGGTTTATTTTAAAACTGCTATATGCAAAATTCTGCTGAGTGTTATTTAAGAAAAAGCATCCATGTAACAGTGGCTGACAAACTAAAAGATTTTACTAAATCATGGTAATAAATCTGTCAGTCTCAAAAACTGTTTGTTTCTCTGTGTGTGTGGGACTGAGGGAAGGCTACTGAGGTTATTCATGGCCTGATACTCTTGTGATAGCCTTGGATTCTCTTCAGGGCTCTGTCCTTAGTAGGACCCTCTGGCAGGTAGGTTGCTGGGGCATTCTACTGCTCCAGTGCTCTTGGACAAGAAAGGTGAATGTTCTTTCTTGCCTGCTTCCTCCTTGTGCTGGAGCTTGTTGCCTGCAAAGATGATCACTGTCAGACAGATTAAAAATACATAATTCTAACCACCCCTCCCCAGTTATTATCAAAGGAGCTGCATTCTTTTTTCCAGCAGTGCTTTTGAGGTTTGGAAAAAGCCGTCTGAGTTCGTCTTCCAGACTAAATTGGAAACTAGAAGAAATTAGCTCCCTTTAGTTCTAGTTTCAATCTAACAGGCCATGTAGGTTTGGTTGTTAAATCAGTTGTTTATCTCTTGTGCCATGATTCTGATCCATAGTTATCATGAGTCTTGAAATAGATTCTATGAATCTAGTCTTTTGTGCAATACTGAGTTTCTCAGGACAAGTTAGAATGTATATAGAAGTTTCCTCATCTCTAAAATATGGTGTTATGTGGCACAGGAAACCCTTTGATCGGGTAAAGATAAGTACAGAATGCTTAGAAAAGAAAAAAAATGGGTCTGTATGTTTCAGAAATCCTCCTTAATGAATTTGAGAAACTGATGATTAAAATGTTCCAAGAAAATTTTTAGAAACTGTAATGAGGACCCTTTGGAGAAGGCTGTCTTCATGTCCTGCTTATTTTGAAATGAGACAGTAAGTTTTACCCAAAAGACAGCAGTCATATTTACTGTCACAAAAGATCTACTTAAAAAGCCCTTAATCCTGGATTTATTTTCAAGATGCCTTCTTTTCACAATACTATGACTTTAAAGTCTTTCTGTTTTGAAAGCTTTGTAGTTACTGTATTTCACAATCCCTCTCTTAAAATGCATATCCATATCAATCTTTACAAATACCCTTACGAATAGAAAATTTAGAATATTTAAACATTCAGAAACAAACATTTTCACTAGTTACAGAAAAGATAAACAAACTGTTCTATAAATATTTCAGCTCCAAGTATTTGGCAGTAAAATTGCTTTCCTAGTGAGCTCAAGTAAGTGTTCAGGTTATGTGAATGTTTGACTGCCTCCCTTTGCCTCATTCAGAAACTAAAAATGAAATTTTATCTTTTCAGCATAATCAAGTATAAAGAGAGGAAAAGCATACTGTTGTCATTACAAAATGAAGCAATTTTTCAAAGGGGTAGGAGCAGGGAGATCTCAGGGTTTGCATTTGTGAATATTTTCCAGCATGGAATTGTATTAGCTGTCTTTTTATTCAAATTGTGCCAGACTCAACCATTTATCAGTGCTGAAGTTGAGTCACTACTTGGGACTATGAATATGTAAAATGGAACAAGCATATTGATATGCACAGTGATTTCCACTGGAGGGCTTTTTTTGTTTGGTGGGGGTTTTTTTTGTTTGGTTGGTTTTTTTGTTTTTGAGGGTTTTTTTGGGCAGGTTTTTTTGTTGTTGTTGTTTTCTTTCCCAAATAAAATGCTCACTAGGGAGGCTTGTAGATGATCATAAAACATCGTCTTACATTTTGGTGTGTGTCTGGGTTTTTGTTGTTTGAGCTCTGTGTAATTTGAAGTATATCTAATTTCAAGAACTGAGGATGAGTTCCAAGTTGTTGATAGGATACATGCATAGCAAATTAAGTTAAATAAAAATGAGTTCATGAAAATCAATAAACCATTTTTCTGTATGAGCACTTTCATTGGAGAATAAGTTATCTCTTGTTTTACTTCTAAATTCAAGAACAATGTTGTCAGTATAACTACACTGTAGGTGGAATAATTATTTCTCTTTCAAGGGTATATTTTGTTCCTAATTAAATGTTAACCTAAAATCCAAATTTTGTTCAGTTTTGTTAAGGTGGTGATTATGGCTGTTCCAAGTTTCTTAGAATTCTTGTTTTTTAAAGAAGAGAGAGTTTCTGGTCTTCAGGGTGATCAGATGAGCCTTTAATGAGCTTTATTCCAAGTCCTTATTTCCACTTAAATTCTTTCAACTTGTATAATACTCATGAACAATATGTTTCTTCATAATAATAGAAGGGAGGGATCAGAATTCTGCTTGGTTTAGTTTGTCATATCTTGGAGACTAGGAACTACAGTTCATATTTCTGTCACTCTCACTTGCCCCAAGTGTTTTGACTGAAAGTACAGAAGAGAAGTGAAGCAGTAGTTTGCTTTCGGAAAAATGCTCTGTAACACTGCATTGTGGTATTTGTACAATTCAGTATTTCTCAGAATTCTGTGTGTACGTTTGTGTGTGTATGTGTGCAGATGCATGCAACTGGCTGATCTTTAAGGAGCAGCACATTTTGGATAACCAGAGGTATGCAATTTTATTTAGTAGTGTTTTAAGTATTTCAGAAATGCAGGTAAACTTCTTCTTGTAAGAAGTTACTTGTGTTGATATACTTTGTGATCCCCTTCCTGAGTTCCTCCATTGTCCTACTTCCCTCTCCTTTTGTAAAACCTGAACTTTTCATTAAGGCCATAGTTTCTTTCCCCATTTTTCTGTCTCTTTTGGGAGCACTGATGGAACAATTTTGTACACCACTTCTTTATGCTTCATCATTTAAGTATTTCCCCCTTCATAGTGTAAAGAACAACTCAATGTTGAAATGGCTGTGTCTAACCTTGGAATCTTCAGAAACATATGGATAATTGTCAGAGTTAATAAATATAATTATTTGGCAGTAGCTATGTAATTTAAAAGATATTTATAAAATCTAAAAAGATTAAAAAGAAACATGATGTTGATGTCATAGCAAAAATATTGTCAGTTAAAGTTTGCCATGGAGTCTTTCTCAATCTAAATAATACAAAGAAACGAACAAATGGCCTAGTGGCATTTTAATATCTGGTGATTTCCAGTTGATGACTTAGGCACATCCAACAATATTGGAATCCAGTTTTTCTCATTGTATATGGCATTTAGGTATGGAACAAATGAAACTGAAGAAAGGCAAAATGCCTTCCAGAATATTTATTTCTCTCTAACCTAGAGAATAATGCAGAGTTTCTAGGCTAAAATATGTTTTTCTTATGGGTAGATCGAGGCTTTAATATAGCTAGCTGTCATTAGACACTTTTTTTTTTTCTGGATAGATTTTTTTTTCTGTAATATTAATAGACATAAACAAAGAGGCTCAATTCCATTAAGCTTTTTTACTGGTGTATTAGTTATAATTGATTTTTGTGGGATATTTTAATGATTTATATTGGCAGAAAGGACAGGGAATAAGGTATGTCATAGAGCTGTGAATTTGTCATTCTGACTTAACCTGTCTGTTAAGTCAGAATGTTTAAGAGTGATCACCTGCAGTCAAATTGACTTCTAACTAGGCAATTTCTCTTTGTAAAGTTTCTAGATGGCCTTTGAATGCTTTAGAAATACTTGAAAACACAGTTTTTATCTTTTAGTGCTGCCATTGGGTTTCTTTTGAATGTGGAAGTTCTTCAAAAACATGTTGCTTCCCCTGTAAAGCATAGACATATGTAGATATTCCAGAATGCCGGCTGGATGTAGTAAATTGGAGTGAAAGGCTGGCAATAAATATGAGATACTTAAGGTAACACAGTATTATTTTAGGTTCAGGTAGCTTGGTATGCTATGCAGTCATTCTGATCTAAGTGGAAAGAATGTAGGTGTATGTCCCTGGCATGGATGGAAAAGCAAGGCAGGGTTACCAGGGTGTTGGAAAAAGAGCTGATTGCCACCAGGCTGGGTGAATTAGAACTATGGTAATTGTGATTTACATGAAGACTGAAGAGAACAAACAGATGTGGCATTCTGAGCGTGTCTATTCCATGTGTCAGCTGAAATGGACCACAAACCTTAACATCTTGAAAACAAGGGATGTGTGTCTTGTAGGTGCAGCATGCATTATCCAGTGTTTTCAAGGATCCCCCCCTAAAATCTTAGCTTCTTAGTGTGGCCTTGCAGGACTAATCCTTTGTCATGAAATTCAGTGCATCATCACTTCTGTGATGCTCTGAAATGTTACCAGTTTCAGAGATAGTGCCTGACATCTCTTACTGTGGGAGGAACTCTCACCCCACCCTCTCTCTGACTTGAAGTGCAGCAACTGTGGTTTTGTTTGTGATTCAGAAATTTTTCTTCTAATACAATTCTGAATTACATTCTGGCTTTAATGTTATTTTTTTCATATGTTTAACACTTCAGGAGTACACTTGCAGCTTCAAATGAAGGCTTCCATTGATAAGCTTGTTTTGTGGAAGTTGTAAATAAGATGAGAAAATAATTTCCATGAAGTGTGACAGATTGTGGGTACTACACACCCCCATCTTGTTTGTGATCTAAATGACAGCATTTAAGTGAGATATGAGGTGTTCATACATAAGCTAACCTTAGAAAAGCAGAATTTCTGTTTGAATACAACAAGTCTGCGGTGCTTCTGTTTGTTTTTTAAAAGCTTTTGTTTGAATACAAAGATTTGTTGTTACAAACTCAAAATTATTCTTCATTTAATGTGCATTACAGCATATTGCAAGCATCAATTTCCAGGATTTGAAGAGGACTACCTTGTAATAATATTCTAGTAACTGCTTATGTTGTATTATTTTTGTAAAGCTTTTTCTTTTTTAAATTTGCCTCTAAATAGTCTGTAAATGTAACACTGTCTGACTTCAGTACTGTGCTAGGAGCACCATACAATGTTTGTAATCTAATACTGCAGGTAGAATGGGGTTCACAGATAGTCTGCCCCCTGTATACTGGGTATGTGTCCTTTGTAGGTTGTGTCTTGACTCAGTTTACCAGGGGCTGAAAGCATCCATGTAGTGCTTGTCTCAAGGGGGATGCTATTTCAGTGGTAGAGAATGTCAAAGCATTCTTGAACAAGTACAAAAGTACACTTAATTTACACTTAATTACACTTAATTTAGTATTAAGTGAATAGATATTTTCTGATTTTTATTTTTGATTTCTGAGTAGATCCTCTGTACTATAAGGATTCCCACCTCTCTCTCCTAGCAGTCAGTGGTGGTGTTGATGAAGGTCTTTAGGGGTTGATCTTAGTTTGTGTTTTGTCCTTGCTATCTGGATCAATATCTGTTTATTAAAAATACAGTCAGGCTTGTGTGTTCTACATTATTTGTTTTGGTTTTTAACAGTTTGCTTCTCTGTATTGAGAAAGTCAGTTTGGCTTTTTAGATTCTTGATATCTTTTCAGTTTATTAAGTTGTAGTTGAAAGGATATGAGCTTATAGTGATCCCTGGTACACCCTTCTGCACTACAGGTAAGTATTTAGGCCCCCAAACTGCCTGGTTCTGCTTCATCCTGGTGTTCCCCAAATGGTGGAGCAGTGCTGTAGACACTCTTTAGAAGATAAATTTTCTTGGAATTGCCTTTTTATTGCTGGTGTCATGTGAGGATATGGTTCCAGCTGTACTTGGGATATAGTAAAATATTGTAAGAGCAATTTAAAATGCAAAGTAAATTGTAACAGATTGTGAAAGCCTCTGATTTTAAAAAAGTAAAGAATTATCCCCATTTTTAGTAGTTTAGTAGGAATCTGCAAGCTACTTCAATGTTTTTAAAAAAAACCAACATTTAAACCCAACAGAATGTCTTCCACACAAATTTGAGGGAGATGAATCTGCAAAACCGAGTAATTATTTAGAAGGTGGCTCTGTTAAAATGCAGAGCAAGCAGATGCACACATACAGGCAGCATGTGCGTATGGCAGAGGCTCTGCTTTGGGTCAGGAGAGTTAAGTGCTGCCTGCCTCTGAGGGACTGCCTTATCTTTCACATAGTTTTAAGTAGCTGTTTGAACTTTTCACATTTTGATTTCATTCTTTTTTTCATAATGACATTATCTTCTGGTTTCTTCCCCAGACCCAAAAAGATGGGGGTATTTCATAACAGGCCATGTAATAAGTACACAGAACTCTTAACTTCTCATATAGGGATTTACTTATTCTTTTCTGGGAACATGACAAGAAAGTTTTTTTTCATGACTGAAAAAAACTTCAAGACTGACTTTTTCCATTTGGTTTTCTAGTCACCCACACAGCTTGCTGGGCTTTTGGTTGAAATATTACTGGTGGTGTAAAAATAACAGAGAAAAAGCCCCACCAAAACCATGGAAAGTGCAGGGGTGGCAGAAAACACAGGAGGGTTCTGTAGGCACACAGAGACAGAGCAGATGAAATGTTAGCACTGATGGGTTAGGTGCTGGGCTGTAGGCTCTGTAACACCATGGCAGTGTGGTGGTTGTGAAGGTGCAGCCCATGCTCTGAAGTCTCAGTTCTGAGCTCGATAGTGCCATGGCTGACCTGGCCCTGGGGGCTGCTCCCAGCTCCCCTTGCAGGGCAGGGACCAGCTGAAGGGCTTGGTTTGATGGTGTTCTCCAGAGTGCTGCCCAGCCTCCTCCCTGAGCCAAACAGTCTCTGGCATCCATGTGGGTACTACAAAAGCTTCCAGATCCTAGATGGGAAGCAAGAGTAAGGGAAGCTGTGGGGGAGCAGGGTTTCCATGCATGAGAGCTAGTCCCACAGGCATGTGGATCCTATATCCTATTTGTCTTGTGGGCTGGGGTTTTGTCTCCCTAGAAGTGTTAGCAGTGGTCCCCTCCCTTAAAAACCCCATGGACAAATTGTTATTTTCAGTTTTATTTCTTGTGTACTTACTGTGAAAGAGTCAGCCAATACAAGTAGGAGTTGTCAGAGAAAAAAATCCCAACATAAACAGATTTATATTTATGTGCCTATAGCACTGAGTTTCATATAGTTCATATCCCAAACTCTTCCTGAATTTTAGATGTTTCCATTGTTCCTGTGACTCTCTTGTTCAGGAATTCTGGTGGATAACCTCAATTTTCATTATAGCCTTGGGGCAAATAAGCATAGTGGTTGAGAGTTTGGGCTTTCTGATGCTTCTCAGTCTTTGGGGTTTAATTTTAGCTCCTATATTTAAGGACAGTCACCAGACTTAGAGGCTTTGAGATATGGCTGGAAAAGGCCTGCTTGTTACTGTGCTGCTCATGTAAGTTGGTGCCAGAAATAATAAATGGTGTATAAAACTCTTATCTAGCCACAGTTAGAAAGAAGGGATTGATTGGTTCTGTGGTCCAGTGGTTGAGGAAGACAGGTGGGAGAAGTGAATCCTGGCTTGAGTTTGTTCTACAGTTTTTTTAATGGTGTGGTTTTCTAAACTGTCCACTAAGTGAAATGTAGACATGGATGCCAAAGTACAGTGGGAGCAGCCAGGTAAGGCTTTTTGTCAGGCCTCTGATTCCTTCTTCAGTAATGTGCATTGTTCTCATCCTTTGTAAATGCAAGTTTACAAAGCTTTGTTTTCTATATTGCTTTTTATTTACTGAGATTATTAGTACTGCATATCAGATTCTGAAATTTATTCACATAACTCTGACACTGCCTAAAGAGTAAGGCAGTAATTTGTGCCAGAAGTTTTTCTCACCTGGAGAACTCAGTACAGCATATTTTCTTTTTTTTCCCTTGTAGACACCCAGCTGTTGGGCCGAAGAGGGAGCAGAAAAGAGATCCCATCAGCGCTCGGCATCGTGGGGAAGTGCTGATCAGCTGAAAGAGGTGAGAAGTTTTGCACAGTGGAGCCTTTCAAGTTTTGATTAGCCCAAGACATTTTTTAAACCCTCTCTGGAGTCCAGGAAACTGCACCCTTTCCCTCTCCTCTTTTGCTTTTGAAACAGGTTTTACCCCCAGTCTAAGAATTGTTTGAAGAGTGATTGTTACTTTATGCTTGTTGGACTTCCTCCCTGAATACTATGAAGTGTTGATTGTGAAAGAGTGGCCAGAGTGAGCATTGAGGAACAAGCTTCTTTTTCAGTGTTAGTTAGCTTTCTGACCTTTAACACTGCTCTCCTGGAAGAGGCAAGTGTCAGGTGGTATGTTCACATATCTTTGCTTAGAAATTTTGTTCAGATTTTAGGTTGGAGATGGAGAGGACACCACTTCCACAAAAAAAGTCTTGATACAGTAATGGTATGAGTACTTGAAATGGTCTTTAATCATAAATATTTTCCTGTAGACTACAATTGCAACTAGAAAGAATCTACAAAAAGTGGATTTGCATGATGAGAAAGTTGATACAGTAGAATGGTCTCCAGCTCAGCTGAAATGACAGTATCTCAGTTTTTGTCCCAGGAACCTCCTTGTTGTCCAGAGTTTGAGTAACTAAATCTGTCCAGAACCTAATAAGGGGCTACATTCAACCTCATGCCTCTGTCAGGAAGAGTGTGTCCTCTCTTGAAGAACTGCACTTTTCTTTTAGAAAAATGAATCTTGCAGCATGTTTCCATGATGGAACTTTTCCCTCATACTCTGGGCTTTTTGCATGCTCTTTCCTGACTCCCTGTTGAATAGGGCCTTCAAAAATGAGAAGGAATGTATAGGTTACCTAAGGAGAAGAAGTTTAAAGGCAGTATATATTCTTCTTCTGGACAGCCATTGATAGAATAATTGTCAGAAGGAGTGGTGCAAGTTTAATTACTCAAATTTTAAAATCACATTTGACAAATATAGAATAATCTTGCAATCCATTGGTGGCAATAGACTCATTTGTAAAGGTGAGGTCCTGGGCCAAAGATAGGTTGATCAAAAGAGGGTTTTCTGTTCCCATCTCACAGAATACATCTTATGAAACCTTGATGTATTGGTACATGGCCCTTGAGTTGCTTGAGTTCACCTGCAGCTGTGAGGAGGCATTCACAGTCACAGATGAGGTGACCAGAAATAAGTGCGGAAGGACTTTTGTGTGTGAGAAGTTTTGGCTTAAACCTTACCTACCAGCACAAAGAAATGATCATACAGACAGGAGTAGCAGCTGTTTCTCTAGGATAATGTTTCCTTGCTTTTACTGAGAGACTATCCTTCATACACTGGCAGTTTCCTATCAGTTGGTGCAACAAGCAGCTCTTCTTCACCACGGGCCTGTGGCTGTCAGTGATAGTGAACCCCTCAGCATGTAAGCAAGTCTCTGCCATTTGATAACAGTGATCCATTGTGCTGGGTTGCCACCCTCTTGCTGTACTGACCAGAAGAGAAAGATAAGAAATGTGTGGTCAGTGTGCTTCACAGTTCCTTTTTTTGCTAGAATACCTTAGTAGACAAAATTGGTTCTGTGGAAGAGAGTTGTTTCTAGCCAAACTTTGCAATGGTTCTTCACCCCAAAACCTACCCTTTCCTTCTTCAGCATACAGTTCTTCCCCTTCCTCTGTTTTCCTTTCTCCAGCTACTCAGGCCAATTTTCTTCACTTTCTAGTTCCTTGGGTTCATAACTCATGTCATACTTCGTGCATCATCCAGCCACTATTCATCTACCCTATTTGAGCTCTTACTCTCTTAACTTCCAGCTCCTTGTTAGTTCTGGCTGTCCATTGTTTGGCTTCTATTTTATCTCTTTCTTTTTCCTTTCCCTCAGTGTCAGCCTGTGTGGTGGGTGTTAAGTGTTTGTTCAATACCAGCAGTGTCTGTGCACTCGGTTTCTTTGTGCCACATTAATCTGCAGTTCCTGGAAGGACAAATTCCCTGGTGTGGTTCTACTCAAACTGTAAAGCCCATGAGAGACGGAATTGTTAACAAGTGTAGCTGCCAGTTCCAGATATCTTTCTTGAACATGTGCAAACTGAATTTTTTGCCAAAGCTTCACCAAATGTAAAGATTCTTCCAGGGGACTTGAGGAGCACATTTGCAGCATAAAGGACCCTCAGGCAAATGTTTGGCTTTTTCATCCAAAACAGTGGAGAACAGAACCATGCAGGTGAAAAGCTTAAAGTAATGTGCTTTGGCACATAAAATGGTAAAATCTTCTCCACCCTCCCTTTCATTTGAAATCACATTCTTAAATAGCCCTAGCACTTCTACTGAAGTCTCTGATGGGAGGGAGATAGAGTAGAATGTTGCGTGGTAGACATCTGACAAAGCTATGGGCAGCTGAAAGCAAGAGCATAAGTAATGAAAATGAAAATATTGCCTTCTGGGCAACTGCATTTCTTATGTGTAGTGTAGGTAACATTGTTCTGCTCAGAATTTTGAATTGTTTTTTACAATATTTGACAGTAAACAAGTAGATAGCTGTTGGCAGTTTCCATGGCTTGTTTTAGCAATTTATATTCATGTTTTCTTACTTCAGAAATTATTGTAATGATTTCTAGCATTTTTTTAATATATTGGTAGTGTAAACTAGCTAAACACTTGTGTGATAGTTACTGGTTTTGGTAAAATAAGATTGTGGATTTAAGTTCAGAAATAGTTTTTTCCTTGGTTAATTTGAGTACTATTAAAATTAAATAAATTTCTTTAATACTGCTAACTCTTTTTTAAAGATTTTAAAACAAAAAGCAAGTGTATAGGTTTAACATCCCAAGCAAGAAAATGAATTCAGAATTGCCACTTTACGAAGAGGATTTCAGTTTGGGTAGTGAAACTTAATTTGCCCTTCATTGAAATAGCTGTGTGTCAGGATTAAGTCTGTCTAGCACTAAAATAGAGCTATATTTGCTTTCTTGTTGTGAGTCTATTAGAAATTTAAAGTCCTTAGCTCTCAATGTAAACTTTCCTTTAATAATTTCATAACAAAATCTACTTTTAAAGAATTTGTTTATTCTGAAGGGCTCTACTACTTGGTTTTAAGAAGTCTTAAGTGTAACTTGTCTAAGATGATGCCACACTGCTTTAACATTGTTTCAGTAGATACATGTCTTGACTGGGATGTAAAGATTGCTGTCAGTCTTTATCCTGGACGCTCCTTTTTTTTCCCTTCTCGACCTGAATAATTAGTTTGAAATTCTCATGACATTGTTCAGGGACAATTTTAGTTATAGCTTACCCTGAACTGGAATTTACCCAGAACTGGGAAAAACCCTTTATTTAAAACTAGTTGTTTTCGCTTTGTATAGGTTTTTAAAGACATATTTCAGACCCTGACTTTTCACTTCCCTTAAGCAGCTCTCTGTGCTGTGTCTGTTACAGACAGCAGCAGCCCCCCATTGGAAGGTCCCTTTTGCTCTAACAGAGTACTTGAAAAGGACTTAGGAATAAAAGAGAATTGAATATGAGAGCTTGCATGTGTAATGTGCTTTCATATAGCAATTGAAAAATTGTATTGAAAGGTTTAGGGATAATTTCTAATGCTTGTTTTGCTCTTTGACCTTCTGGTTAACTCGTTTATTAACAAACATTTAATGAATGAGATGGAGCTCACTCATTAACAAGGAGTTTGTGGCTTGATCAGCAATAGGAAGTTACCATGTTGTGTAGGCTGAGCTGTAGAAATACAGCCTAGTGACTGGTAAGTATTAGTGAGCATTTGAGAGGTATGGTGGGATGTGTCAGGTTCCTTCATATTAGTCTGCATCTAGGTCCCTTCAAAAGGGAAAAATTACCAGGATATTTAGATTATCCCAGTGTTGTAAAGAACTGACCTAATTTGGTTATTTCTCAGTTTTGTGCCATTGATTACATTAGACCGCATGCATGTCACAAGTGGCATAGAGAAAATTCATATTATTCATTGGACATCTTTGAGCTATAGAAATAACTTAGCAAGCAAAAAATATATTTATAGGAGATTTTCCTGACTCGTTTGTTCAGTAATCCTGGATGGTCATCTTACTTTTGGCTGACAGTAAACCATGAAGAACTTTGTGCCCTGAATGACTTTGTTTAGGTTTCTGATGCACTGCTCTTTGTGTTTTCTCAGTGTTTTTTGTTGGTGGGGGTTTTTTATAAATTACTTTAAAATAGGTGAAGAAAAGAGTCTTTCCACTGCATCAGCAGCATTGCAAACTACAGTCACTTGGAAGAGCAAAGTCTAAAATTTTGTTAATTTTTTTGAAATGTGCACAGATCTGTGCTGTGTTTTCCCTCTCCATGCAGTCACATGACAGTACTTGCCAAATGTGAATTAAAATATATTTTTTGGAATTTACTGCCATATAGGTTTACACATTGAAATATAGCAAAACAGTTTTGGATAACAAATGGCATTCAAACGTTGAAAATAGCATTCAAATTGAGTTTACTCCTTGATGAATTCCTTGATTTTTTTTTTTTTTGGCTGTGTTTTACTTTCAGCTGTATCCTCTAAGAAAATAGCTGTATTTTCTAAGGAGAATCTTCTGACCATCTTCAAGTTAGGTAGGCATGGAGAGCATTTGAATTGGTAAACAAAAATAATGCACATGTAATGGATCTAAGGGCACATATGTGCAAGGCTAAGGCTTAAATATCTCCAACAAGTGGGTGCTTTAGGATACAGATTAGATGTTTTTGTGATGATTTGCATGTGTTCCTTAATATGACTGTGTATACCCCAGTCACATTAATGCTCAGTTGTATTAGACTGCATGCATTTGGGCGTGTGGGGGAAGTGTTGTCCCAAACCCTTTCTGTTCTCAGCTGCTCAGTAAAAATGGAGGGTTTTGTTACTGCCCTTTGGTTTCCCCAGTGCAGCACATGGTTCCTTTCCTGCCACTTCCTTGTCACCATTTTCTTTGCACAGATCTGGTCTAATGCTGCATCTTCAAATGCCTGTTTTCCTGATACCATTCACTTGGCACCATTTCTTTGCACAGAGACTCCCTAGCTCATATTCACTGCATCAGTTGAGTGCCCAGGAGACAGGATCTGCTGCTTCTTTGAGATAATTGGTAAAACAGGTGCCATCAAGGCATATGTTTCAGACTCTTCTCTTACTCTATGAATTATATTTGTTTTGCAAGAATTAGTGTAGCTCATATTGTAGATGGTTGTGCTTGTTTGGTGCTCTGATGGTGCTTCTCTGCTGCCTGAGAAGAAGGTGTACGTAAACTTGGAGGAAGCTGGTACAGCTGTCTATTTCCTGTTAGTAGCAGTGGCTTTATTTCAGCTTGAGATAGAAAATAATTGGTAATGAAAAGATGATCTTGTAGAAGAAAAAAGCTGTTGCAATTTCAGGATTAGCAAGTGGTAGAATCACTGTGGACTCCCCTTGGTGAAGAGATGGAGCATCATTCAGTTCAGCAGATTTGGTGTACTCATTGACACTACCAGCTTGCTGCTTGTCTGTGCCAGCAAGCCTCTGTCTCCCAGGTCTGCAGGATAAATAGGAAATGGCAGATTCCTTTTTACAAGCCCATTGCTACTTTCTCATTTTCTTGTCCAGAAGTAACTACAACATCATGGACAGCTAGGGTCCTGCAAGTTCAGGGCTAAGGATATATGATCTAAGAAGGCACATGTGTTTCTTCACTGCATTGCTTGTTTGGCTTAAGAGATTGTATCAGCTCCAGATACACAGTCAAATCAACAATTTTCCATCTTCTGTTTCTCCTCAGTGACCCAAGCACTCTTTCCTTAGTTAGTGTCAAGAATCTACTGACTGCCACAATACACATAGTCTTGAGGTGGCTGAGAGAACCCTAAGTTCCAGGGATCCACTGATTCCTTTCACAGTATCAGAGCTTCAAGGTTTTTGGCTAGCCTAGAGACATACCAGCCTATCAACACTCTCCCATTTAGAGTTTTCACTATGCAAATTTTGCAGTGAGAGGCTATGTTGTCAAAGATTTGCAAACTTATTTGTGACAGAAATCAGTCAGTCAGATCTGAGGTGGTATTGTGTAGATATTTTCTTTCATAGTATGCTTTTGAGGAAAGCTCAGAAACTGTATTTCATCTAAATTAAACAAAATAGTGTATTTTACTTTTTGACTTAGGAAGAAGTGCACAGAGTCAAGGAGAGGCAGTAGAAATGAAAGATTTATATGCAGCACTCTCCTTGCTTTCTGATTATTCTTATAGCTAGTCATCTCTGTCCACAGCTGTCTTCTGATCCAGGCATCATTTTTCTCCTCTGTTTTAAAGGGGAAGATGAAGATTATTTCCCACTTATCCCCATTCTTCAATATTCCAGTGTAAGACATAAATATTTGTAATGTGTGTATATTTACCAGAGTAGTTACCTGCATGTTTTTTCATCTAGGGAGTTAGATTTCCTAACTCCTACAAGGAGAAGGGGATATTTCTAGACAAATGGATTTATTTTTTTTAGACATGAAATACCTCTTCAGACTGCAAAGTTTCTTGCAATATAGTGCTTGAGTTGTACCTTTCATCAAGAGTTTTGTGTCCCAGTTCTCTAAATGTAGCTCATCTGTGTAAGTAATGCAGTTGTATTAGGGCTCTGTTTTTCTGGATATATTCAACACACAGACCCTTTTGGAACTCTTGAACTGTTTGTGTGTTGTTTAAAGATCAAAGTATTCAGCCATTTCTGAGTAGCAGTTCTCTAAATATGGGTAATGAGCTGTGGCAAAACTTGATGTGAAGCCTTAAAGATAGATTTTTCTTCTGTGAGTGCTACCAGAAAGAGCACAAAGAAGAGTTCACAGCCTGCAGCAGAGCTCCATCCAAACCTCTTCACCAAACACTGTCATCTCTGACACTGTGAGGAGTGATGTGAAGTGATTCTCTGACATGGAGTTGCTTTGCAAGAGTACCAGTGATATATTTAACTACATGGAAATAACCATAGAGTGCATGTACTTGTGAGTTGTCACTCAGAAAGAGAGGTTAGTTTCCAGCTGATGTATGAATTCCATGTGCATTCATTCTCCTTACTTGCCCTTCAGGCTTTTAAAAATTGTATCTCTAGTTGAGCTAAAAATGAAATGGGGCCATGCATGGCCTTGTATTCCAGTGTGCTGAGCATGAGGAACAGTGGGATTTGAGCCTAAGGGAGCAAATTATCCAGTTTTGAGGAAGTGTCTGTACCTGTTGTGTGAATTTGCACACAGTCTAAACTTCTGAAACAATGTTTATAGAGGTAAGTGCTCTCTTTCATGTAGAAGTTTCCCAGGAGGAATAAATAAGTAGAGGAATCCCAAAATGAAATTCTTTGGTTTCTTGTTAAGGAGCAGGTCAAATGGATAATGGCTTTAGTTACATTTGACATTTAAAATGTAACTTTTGATTATACATCTTTGCATCAGACAGCAGGAAAGATAATTCTGTCTGCCTGAAGGAACCTGTGGTAATACTGCCTGTAGGGAAGTGCTATTAAATGTATTAAATAAGTACTCCAAGATGAACAGTGCATTTTGAGTGCCAGTTGTTTGTGAAGGTTCTTTACTTTTATGATGAATTATCACGAAAAAACTTTGTTTTGGTTTAAGATCAAACAAATTAAACTGTAGCTTTAAAGTCCCCAGTTTAAACCAGTTTCAGATTAGAAGATGCTACAAATTGTCATTTTGACTGCTTTTATTTGCATCAGATATTACAGTGTTGTGTGTAAATGAGGAAATTCAATAAATAAACTAAGCCTGTTGTCATATTCAGGTTGGTGAATGGGGCAAATACTTTGGAGTAAGCATCTGATAAGCAGAAAGAAGCTTTAATGCTCATACTTCAAGGAAAGGCAATCCTATATGCCTGTAAAATCCTCCAAAGAGGATTAAAATGTCCATGATTCAGTTCATATGTGAAGATGAGCAGGTACCCATTTGATAACTCATTCTCACACCAGTGAACTCCTCTCCAGCAGATTGCCAAGCTGAGGCAGCAGCTGCAGCGCAGCAAGCAGAGCAGCCGGCACGGCAAAGAGAAGGAACGTCAGTCACCTCTCCATGGCAACCACATAGCAATCAGTCAGACTCAGGTAAGTGGGCAGCTCCTTGCATCAACAGCCTCCCACCTTAGCAGGCTTGGCTGAATAGCCTGCTGAGCCTTCCCATCTGTCCTGTGTTTGTTCTCTGGTGTGGTACAGCAAATGCTTACAGTGTGATACTGCTGTGCCTTCACTGGAGTTTATCTGATGGTCGTCATATAATAGAAGAAGGGCTGCACCAGGATAGCAACTGAAATATATTATGGTGCTGTAAAAGTTATGGGCATGGCCAGATAAGGCTGTGCTTCCAGGGATGCATACTTGCTTCCAAGCCTAATTTTTTTTGTGGTAAACTTTCAAAGCTCCTCTGGAAGGTATTTGCTTATCAATTTTGCAACCTAATTCCATCTGGGCTAGTAAAAAAAAAAAAGAAAATAAAGAAAAAGCAAGTACCAAAGCAGGGTGCAGTGGAGGATACCCAAAGCAGTCATGATCTAGTCACTACAACCTGTCAGCAAAATTGAGACCCAATTACAGTTCTAAATCTCAGGTGAGGTTCAGCCAATATCTTTATAAATCTTAAGGCACTTGTAGAAAGCATTTAACCCTGGCTTATTTGAGAATGCAGACATTTGAGTCCTGATTAAATTTCACCTGTAGTAGATCCTTAACTTGGACTCCCTGTTACTAACAGGCCACTCTTTGAACATCTGAAATGTTGGTTCTATCGTGGTATTTCCTGAGTACCTTTGTAACTACCTGGTGTTCTATAGCAGCTAGTAACAGGAGCTGGTTGAGCTGTGATGGCTGATTCCTTACATTCCTTCTATGGGGATAAAAATCTTGTGGTCAGATCCTAATGCAGGAAGACAATAGGAAACTGATGCTCTTCCTGAACCTGTTAGCCTTTATAGCAAAGGATCCTACTACATTTGACATATAAAAGGGTTTTGCTTTACATCTCAAAGTAAGCTGTTGCAAGTACCTGTGCCATTATAGTCACACAGCAGACAGCCTTTGACACAGATTGAAACCCACCTAGGACATATGCTGTGGAGAAACATTGTTTAGTACTTGGAGCTCACTTTGTCATTGCTCATGTGACATTTTGGTTTCTCAGGAAGATGTTCTCTGATAAAGCCATTCTGCAGGCTGTGTGTTCTGGCATTCAGAGAATGCTTGCAGGCAAATGACTTGCACCTTGGGAGCTGCACATTGTGCAAGATGCACTTGCTAAGAACTCAAAAAATGTTTACATTTTGTCTTAAGCATCCTGTGATTCTGTGAGGAGGAGGAGGAGAACAAGTTGACTGACACATGAGACTGTTCATGGCTGTCTGTGTAGCTGCTGCCAAGGTGAAGCTTTTAAGGTTGAGTGTGCAAGACTCAGTGCACTCTCAGGAATGTTTCCTGTTGGTAACAGAGCTTCACTCAACAGCCTTTTCTGAAAATCATATTTTTACTCACTTAGATGCTTGTTTCTTAAACTCAAGATGATTTCTCTTAAGACCTTTAACATAAAGTTCTGAAAAGGTATTAGCTAATGAAATTAAAGGTTCTGAATGAATGTTTTATTTTGCATTCACTAAAACCAACCAAAAGAGAGTAAAAGTGCATTAGGTGAATATTTTGGTTGAGTCATTAAGCTTTAGGAATGTTATGAAAGGCCTTTTGGATCCCAGTTAGCATCAGGGCCCCATGCACTCCCCATCCTCCTGCAGTGTAAACCTTAGTCTGTGCCCCTGGAAAGTAAATACACCTGTCCACTAACTACCAAGTGAAGTCATAGAGTGTTTTGGTTATACAACTCTTCTTTGACTTAAGGAGAGATGGTTTTATTGGCTTTTCATTTATACAGGCATTTGTTTTTATTTAAATTCACCAAGTAAAGATGATCTTCTAAATGGCAAAATTAATACACACCTTCTTACTTAAGCTTTTAGTTTTGGTTTCAGATTTCTGCCTTTATTCTGTTTTCCATCTTTAAATGATGTTACTGTCTGCCTTCTAGGCTTGTATTTCCAGATCTGTCCCTATGCCACTGTCAAGCATTTCAGTGCCAAAATCAACTGCTTCACGTGTGCCGTGTAATGTAGAAGGAATAAGCCCTGAACTGGAAAAAGTATTCATTAAGGAGAACAGTGGAAAAGAAGAGGTATCCAAGGTAAGCATATAGTAACATGTTTATGGTTGTTATCTCTTTGTAATCTATAAACACAGGGAAAACCTTCCTCTTGAGGAACCTTCATTGTGGCTGAAATTACAAATAATTTTCTTCAAAGAACTGTTTGTTTGAAAACTTTGTTTCAGTGTTTTAGCATGGTGGGTTTTTGTTTTTGAGTTTTCTTTTTTATTTTTAAAGGGCTTCTGGCCAAACCTACTTTGTTAAGAATGCCATTTCTGTAGAGAACTTGCAAGTTTTTGTGAGAGATAGAAGTGTTAGAACATTCAGACACTTCAGGCTGCAGTAATAAGTAATTAGAGATCAGGAGATTGTTATATTTGCTTCATTTTGCACTATTTCTCTTGAGCAAGATATAAGTTTCCAGTACAATGCTCTCCTTTTTGGTTTTAATGCTTTTTTTCCATAGATTAAATGTGGACCATTTTACTGCCATGAAGCCTCTGTGATCTCTCATGGGAGATGTCTGTATGGGAAATACTGACAAATGGGGCAGCTTTGCTTTGGAGCATTGGACTTTTCATTGAGGAATTTGATGACACTGAAAATGTGGAATACTTGGTTTACAGCCACTGTTTCCTGAACAGCCAGTGAAAATTTTCTGCTGTGGAATAAAGTACTCCACGTTTTTTTCCTAATCTCCAAGTTGTAGGTGCTTTTCTCATGAATGGTCATATAATAGCAATTCAGTATACAAGTCAAGCTATAAAACTTCCACCTTATATTTGCAGTTCTCCATATCAGTAGTAAACTTAAATTTTTTGGAATAGTCTTGGCTTCTCCAGACCCCTAGTTATGTGGACAAAGCAGTCTTAAGAATGTAGTAATAGTTCTATGCTAAGTTTTCTTTCCTAAGTCTGTCTTATCCCTTTAGAAGAGGTGTGAATTGTGCCAGGGGAATAAGGAAAAAAACCCAAACATGCAGCCTGAATGCCCAGCTCAGCAAGCCTTGTTGCAGCATCTCCAAGGAGTACAAAAAAGTGTGTATTGCAGTGCCACCATTGATGTTGCTATGGGTGGGGTTGTAATCTCCTGTAGTTGGAGGATATTTCATTTATCTATCAGACAAATCATCCTTGTAAATGTTGTCCTTGGGTTTTAACAGCTTATTGCTTGGGATGCAGAGCTCTCCTGTGTACTGACTCTGATCCAGCAAACCAGTTAAGCACATACTTAAGTGCATTCTTGGATTTGGGCCAGAGGTGCTCGGAGTTTACGCAACCAAGGCAATCGTGAACCCTTCCTCCAAACATTCAGCTGGCAAGAGCTTCAGACACAAAAGAAAGTCATAAATCAGACATTGCCCTTGAAGTCAAGTCCATCTTTGTGGGCAGAGGGTTGTTTGCTGCTATGTAACTGTTAATTTCTGTGAACTCTGGTCTTGTGGGACCTAGAGTGGGACTCCTAGCACTGTCTGTGAGATTACAAGATCTCAGTTTGCTTATGGAAGATCATAACAAGATCATAATTGACTTAAATCTTACTGCCAGTGAACTTTCTCCTAATACAACAATTTAGCCTGGGGGACTGGGGGCGGGTGGGGGGTAAAGGTTAGGAACCACTGAACAAAAGATAAACCATAGTAAACTAAACTCTAGTGATCCTGTTCATTTTTCTTTCAGTTTTCTGCCATTCTTTCTCACTGTAACATTTTGTATTTTTAGAAACTCTTTTAAAAGGACAGTCAGAGATAGTTTGTTGCTTTGGAATATGTCTTTGTCTTAACTCACACTGATTTAGTTCTGTTACTTCTCTGAAACATTTAAAAAAAAAATTTGTTTTAGCATCTTAATGATGGTTAAAATTGTAGTTATAAAAGCAAAAATAGCCAAACCACTCTTGTATTGTTCAGTTATTTTTGTATTTCATAAAGATAGTTGAGGATTAGTAGTGTCTTTGTGTCATTGCAGTCAATAGGATTTTTAAAAGGTAAACTTTAGAGAGATTGCATAGTGGTCAAAATACTCAAAAAATTTCATTCTTTGCAGTTTAGCAATAACTGTATTTTTTTACATAATTCATCTTGCTTAGTTAACTGAAGGTATTCCCTTTTTGCTTTCATAAAATGAATTTGTCCTTTTTGAGCCACTTCTTAATCACCTCTTTCTCCTCAAATTTATTAGTAAACTTCTAATTTATGTTCTAATGCATTTATTCAAAATTCTTGGATATGTTTTCCTTCCTTCTTTTTATAACTTGCTGATTAACTCTGACAAGGTGTGATGGTATGTCTCTGTTCTCACCATAACTTGTAAGATGGGATCAGTTTTTTGTGAAGTTCTCGCAGGCTTTTGTACTTTGTCCCATTGTAATTCCACAACACCATCATTGGAGACTCAGGTGCAAAAAGATGATGGGCTTTTTGTAGGAATTAGGGGATAAGAGGTGTTCCCTCTTCTGGAATACAGCAGTGGAAATTATGAAAAGTGGCCTGTAGCAGAACACAGACATATTCATAGGCCTCCTGTTAGGAGAAGCATTCTACTGGAACTATCAAGTATACAGAAGTAATTAGAAATAAATAAATTTTGATGGATTATCAGACAGTGTAAGTAAACTGATTACTGTGTCCCTTGTTTGATTTCTAATGCTTCTGGAAGGAGATGGCAAGGTGGTTTTATGTACCTATCTGGAAACTTAAGCCTTTAATAAAATGACTTCTTTTATTTTGCACAGATGCAGAAGATCCTTACTTAACTCCTCATAGCCTTCATCTGAAAATTGTTTTTTCCTAAGTGTTCCTTCCTAGGGTTCATTATGGTTTTTGCACTTGCACCTTATAAAGTACATTGATGGCTTCACTGATGCCAGCAGGAAGAAGCTCTTTCCTATGTTGGCCTTTGTGTTCCAGTCTAGAGGAAAGTTTTTCAATCAATAGCATTGAATGCTTTGCCTTTGAAGAAGTTGCCTCCCAAACAGATGTACAGCTTGTGAGGAGACTCCCACTGGTATTGCTGTTACAGACTGGTGGCATTCCTGATTCTTCTAAGTGTTGTTGAGGTTTTTTCCAGCAAAAAGATTGATACTGGAAACAAATTGGTGAATGTTAACAGTGTATTGAGAAATGCATACTTGTTGTCAAATGCAGCTTTTTCCTACCTTTGCTGGGAGATGAGAGCAGTATGTAACTGTGTCCAAGAACACACATCCAATAGGGATGGACAAGTGTCCTGTCAGAGGGCATTTGGCATAAGGTTAATACATGACTAGACTACTTGGAAAAAAAACCCTCAAGAAATAGCACATAGAATGCAGTAATTTCTAGTTGTTTTCCATGCATTGGGCATTATGGGAAGTAATAGCAGCTGTACCAAATTAGTTACCCTCTTTCTTATCTTGTAAGGTTGTGAGAACTTCAGTTTTAGAATAGTTCAGGCATGACTCATAGAAAGTAACTTCAAAAGTGGTTTTTTCCATTGATCAGGTTTGATATATAAAGTTTTTAACAAGCTAAATACTTCTAGTTGATATTTTCATGGTGATTTTTCTACTTGTCAGCAATGAGGGAAAGATAAATACAAGAACACAGCAATCTGAGATATTAACTGGCATTTTTTATGCCTAATAAATGTTACTGCACTTGTAAAGAATGATAAATATTTAGCTTTTTCTGCTTGTGTGTATATTTAGATATGCGTTTAAAAATATGGATTATTTTTGTACCTCAGGCTTTAGTTCAGGGGAGATTGAAATATGTGATGTGGGATATACTTCCTAACTGCCTGAGACTACATTGTTCCTCCAGGGGTGGGAGAACATCTGTGTTATCCTGAAGTCTTTAATTATGTGATCATTTGCTGTTTTTTCCCCTCCCTGGAATCCTTGTTTTACCTGTTACACAGACCATAGTGTATGCCCTTAATGAGCAGCTCTTTGGTGTTTTTCCCTTCTTGTCCTTAGATTTGTGTCCCCATGCTTACTGTTACACCTTGCTTTGAAGTCAGAAATCTGAATTTTTGCCTGAGATTTTGCTTCTTTATAATAGGAGCATGTCTGAAATTTTGTTCACTTTACATCACAGTTATGTGAGAAAAAAGATGATGTTTACACTTCATGGATGGGAAACACAAATCCATCAGGGTGCTCTAGTGTGGTTGTTCAGGTAACTCAGGATGTTACATTCCATTTTAGGAGTTCAAAAGCAGCTCCTGTAGTCTCCTTCTGCATCTGTTAATGCAGAGGACTTGCAAATCAGACCTGTATAAACTGGGCATCCAGAAGAGATACTATAGAAGGCAGAGGTTGGTTCAGTTGATTCCCTGACATCTCACAGAATTTTTGTGGCAGAGAGAGAAATAAAAATGCTGTTTTGTATGGCAGGTTTCTTGATGGGTTTTTTGGGGGGGGTTTTTTAGTGGTGGGTTTTTTTTTTGGTGTGGTCTTTTTTTCTTTGTTGGTTTGGTTATAATAATTATGAGACTACTTTCTTTCTGCAGCTTCAGTTTTGTTTTCTCTCTTCTGTCTTTGTAACAAATGCTACAGAGCTGCAGGTCTGTGCATTGAATGAGTCAGGGCCTGTTGGGGTGATGGGAATGGAGAACACCAAGTCATGTTGTGACACATGTGCAATGGGAACTGAGCTGTTGGAACAGACCACACAGCTGTGCCCAAACCTTACAGCGTTTGATGGAGCAACTGTAGTGTTCCCTTTAGTGTGTTTCTTTGCTCTTACTTGAAATATGAAGTGGTATTAACTGGAAGACTCATAAGAAGAAAATTATCTTCCTGCTCTGCTCTGTCTGCCTCTTTGTGTAATATGTGGTGGTTTTCTGGATAGACTGCTGCTGAAAAAGGGAGAATGTGATACTCAGCCAATAGGTCTCATGTCCTCGTTGCTAGCAAAAGTGTTGGGTTGAATTTTAGGCTCTGGAACAAGCTGTTACAGCTTTGGAATATATGCAGAAGAGAGGCAATAAAATAAAAATGTTCACTTGAAGTGAGAAGGAAAAAGACATCAATTTTTTTGTAGCTAGAACATTTAAGCTCTTCTTTATGGTTTGGACACAGTTGTCACTGAAGCGAGAATAAAAAGTTTTTAAATCTTGCAGACATTTTTTTCCCCTTTGCTTCTAAGCAAGATTGTAATTCCCACTTGGTTTTTACATTTAAAGCAGCACTGTCTTTATTAAAAACTAATTATCCATTGGGAAGGACAAATAAGTAGAGCATGCCAATCTACTGCTGTGAACATGTCTATGCAGTGTGTCACAGAATGGGATGCAGCATCACTCTGGCCAGTGCCAGCTAGGCTGATACAGGCAGGTAGAGCTTACTGGCTTTGCCTCAAGACAAAGCTTGTGAGCCTTGTTACAAGTCTGCATGTGGGCATCATCTGTAAAAGGATGGAATGTAGGGCTGTGCTGGAGAATTGCAACTTACTAGCAAAACTTGGATGGTTTCCCTTTATAATTGTAATTCGGTTGGTTGTTATGGCAATAGTATGCCATTGTATTTGACATTTTCTACTTTCCCTTTTATCAAAATGTGATCTCTGTTGGGGTACTTGTTTTTGTATTATAATAGCAGTGACCTTTATTGAAAATTGTAGTGCTACATATAATTAAGGAGGTTTGCTTTTTTAACTACTATAAAAACCATAAAAACACACCACTGGCATGTGTTGAATTGTGGATGTTAACTTTGCATTGGAGCGTGTGCAGGTTGCCCCAGTACTCCATGTCTGTTGTATCCATTGTACACTGCATTATTTTCTTACGTGAGATCTCCTTGTTCTTTCTAAAATGCCATGTTTGTTCTTCTAAGGCCTTTGCTGATGGGTGCTGCAGGCTGGCATTGCTCGTGAGTTTGATCTTTTCTGGGTAACTGCTTGTTTCTCTTGCAGCCCTTGGACATCCCCGACGGCCGGCGGGCGCCGTTGCCCGCTCACTACCGCAGCAGCAGCACCCGCAGCATTGACACGCAGACTCCCTCTGTGCAGGAGCGCAGCAGCAGCTGCAGCAGCCACTCACCCTGTGTCTCTCCCTTTTGCCCTCCTGAATCTCAGGATGGCAGTCCCTGTTCAACAGAAGATTTGCTCTATGACCGTGATAAAGGTGAGAGTAGAATGGCCTGCCTTTACCTATGGGAGGCATGTGATGTCATGCTTTTACAACTACCTTCATTTTACTCATTACATCAGTTTTTGTTTTTGTTTGATGGTTGTGGAGGGATTGAGAATTTATCTGAAAATTGGTTTTGTTTGTTTACATATCTTTTTCCCTCTTGTTTGTGAAACTTCACAAACATCTTCCATAAATACGTCAGAGGAGCACAGCAAACAGTTACCTATTTATGAAGATTCTAATGTGAAGAATTCAGACTGTAACGTGTTTACCTTTAAAAAAGGTTTCAGGAAGGTTTGTGGTAGACTGTCTGTTTATTGTAGGTGAGTTGCTTGCTGTTGAAAATGGAGATTAAGTTTTTGATTGCTTTTAAAAGAACTCTGCTTCTGAACTCTTACATTCCTACTAGGAGCTGTTTGGTGAGGAGCTCAGATACCTGTTTGAACAATCTGGTGGAGGGTAATTACTTCTCTGTGTATGCTGCATAACAGCTCAAAAATTCTGAATAATTTATGCATTTATCAATATCCTGCATATTTTTCAAAGTCTGTAAAATGTTGTTTGGTTTTATAGTGGAAGTACAACTGGAGTTTCAGGAATTAAGAGTTACTGACAGACTATGGAGTATGAGTATATGGGCACCAGTGTAAAAAGGACTGTGGTTTTTTTGACAACTGTTTACTAATAAAATTACCCTTGTGCTTCTGGTCAGCTAGCTGAAACATGGACTCAGTATGGAGGATGTAGGATTTGGGTAAATCATGCAAGCTAAGAGGAGTAAGTTGCACAGAGGAAATGAAAACTTCTAAGATTTAGCATATATTTATTTACCAATGAGCTAAAGATAGCAGAGTTTTGAGGTTGTAAGTAAGGTTAAGTGCTCTTTTTGTAAGTACTGTCTGTTTATTAAGAGTTAAAGTAATTTGGGACTAGGCTTGGGGAAGTCAACAGGAGAAACACTTTTCTTGATTTCTGAAAAGTATTTCTTTCTACATCTTGGATTTAAAAGCAAATAGTGGAAAACAAATCCATCTGCCCAAATCCTGAACTGGGGGTGGGTGTGTGCAAGTTAACCACATTAAAGTAAAAGTCTTACCTCAAAATGAGAGTTGGCTATGCTCCAAAAATAACAGTGTTATTAGCTTGCCCCCACCATACTCCTCTTTCCTATACTATGCATGTGAATTTTAATATGTTGTTGAGGCTGAATCACTATAGAAACATCTACTAAAATATTAGCACACAAAAAGCATCTTGACAGGTAAATTGGTTCATATATGTCCTGATAACAAGTATAAGTTAAAAAGCAAGGGAATTAATAATTCCTTTTGCAGTCAGTACTCTGTTATCACAGTAATGGGAATTTTTACTGGTACATTATTGGCAGTAGTGAGTGAAGACAACTTGAAATAGTGCATCTAGCCTTTTTAATGCTTTTCAAGGCTTTTTATCTCTTGCCTTGGATTTTTTGAACAGCTGACTGAGTGAAATTTATGAATCGATACTTATTTGTGGATTTTGGTTTTAAGACTGGCTTTAATGCTAGGCTTGCATCAAAAGTCTTCTCTGGGAGAAATGTGTAGGTGATGATGATAAACAGCCAGTTTTTTAAGTCATCATAGTGGCATTTTCAACTTGGTTTAAGTAAGGTACATAATACTGTGTGTAGGAAAGACAAAACCTTGAACTTCTCATCAGAACTTAAGTTTTTAAGGGCAAGGTAAAAGCTAGGAAAACATGTAGCAGTTTTCCAAGAGAAAGTAATTTCTTCAGAGGTTGCAATAGTATAGTCAAAAAGGTGCTTTTTGCTCTTATATCTTCCAGATACTACAGGCCAGTTGTTCTGAATTAGAATATTGCTTCAAAATCATTGAATTATGGATAAATGAGGGATATGGCTGGAAATTACAACAGAATAGCAAGTTTGAGGGACAGTTTATTGCATTTGTTGTGGCTGTTAACTGCTCTTTACAATAAAAACTTGGGAAGGTTTTCACACCTTCCTTTTAAAAGCTTTTGTGAGCTAGAATAAAACCATCTCCTAGTTTTTGTGAGGCCTGTTAAGTTTGGAAATGTGCATTGTGTAACCAAATGTAGATGTTTTGGTGACCTTTTCTTGTTACTTTTCTAAAGGCTTAGTTTTCCTCTTGATGAAAATAACTTGTATTTACCATTAAAAAGTGGAGTTACTGGTGTTACTAATGGTTGTGGGGCATGTTGCTGAATAGGAAAGGAAGGTTAGTTTGACTAAGAGACTAAGCAGTGAGAGGAGCCAATGTTCTGTACAGCCACAGCACTGCTTTACATTCCTAAAGCATCTTTTACTTTTTGTGCAAAGCTGTGCTTTGGCCTGAGGCCCTCCCAGCTGCCCTTTGGACTCTATCAGCTGGTGGATTTACCTTTCTGCAAGAAGCTGTGAAATAAATGAATTTTTCAAAAGCGAATGAAAGCTAATTTTCGGAAGAGGCTCACAGTATTACTCTGGACAGAGCAGTGATACTACACAATGTTGATTAGAGCAGACGAGGAAGGGTTGGGAAAGAATGTGTTTTCATGGCACCTGGATTTTGTATTAAAACTACTGGTTTCATTAGATCTGTTCTGTGATACTCTGGTCCATGAAACTGTAATTCAGAGCCCTACATAGCATCCTCAGCAGCTATGACAGAAGTGAAATTCAAAGGCGTCCGAAGGTATAAGCAGATGAAATCTGGAGGGGTTTCTTTGTACAAATATAAAGTGTATACCCTGTTTTTCAGGGATTTTGATTTAGGCAGCACTTAGTAGTCCCACTGTTGCTAGCAGGCTCTTCTAGGTAACATGTTTGTGAAGATGCTTGTTAAATTCTGGGCATCTGATTCATAGCTCCTTAAAGGAAAGTTGTTAGTGGAGTCTTTGGATAGACTTATTAGTCATTTTTGAACCTATCAAAAGTAATCCCAAGGCTCACTGGTAGTTTCTTGTTAAAAGTGTAGTCACTCAGAAAACTGCTCAGGTTGTTTTTTAGTTACCCTCTTTTGTTGTTTTAATATGTGCAGGATATGATTTCCTGTATTAAGGTTAAAATAGTATCGATAGTGCTTTAATTGCATTCTTAAAATGTTTTCTAGATAACAGAATATATGTCTTTTAAATATGTGTCCAGAAACTCCATGTGATTAGCCTCCATATTGTCTGCTGTGCGTTTGTGGCAGGGAAACTCCCTTTAAAGATTCCAGGATCAGTCAGTGTCGATGGGGTGGGGTGGGATGGGATGGAATGGAGCGGGATGGAATGCAATGGAATGCAATGGATTGCAATGGAGCGGGATGGGATGGAATGCAATGGAATGCAATGGAGCGGGATGGGATGGAATGCAATGGAATGCAATGGAGCGGGACGGGTTGGGATGGGATGGGATGGGTGGGCTGGGTCACGCCGCAGGGCGCCCCCTGCTGGAGGGAGCCGGGGGCTCGGCCTTGCGGCCTCGGGGAGCAGCGAGCGCGCCCATCGAACCCGGGACAGCAGCGCACATGGATGTGCCGTGTCGGCAGGGATTAATGATGGGACAGTGCAGCGCTGCAGAGCCCACAGGATACACAAGTGGAGTCTGGCTTAAGCTGTGAATTCCACCTCTTGCCACTTAACTGGTGGCCTGTGTTCCCAGTCCCTTGTGCTCTCGCCCAAGGCCCGGCTTGTACGTGTGAGTCTCCTTCCAGCCGCACGTGTTCTCCAACAGCGTGTGCCCTGTGCTTGGGCAAAATGAAAATCCAACAACTTCACAAGCTTTCAAAGCAGGGAGGGTAAAGAGAAATACTTGTTTAGCAGCTGTCTCACGTAGAAAGTTTCAGCCAGGCAGGGCTAACTAAACCAAAAACTTGATTGAAAGCTGAACTGGCTAGTAGACAAGACTCTTAAATCTTCCAAGAACTGACTTAGCTTTGAATTCTGTTTGATTCTTCCCTTGCATGTACTGCCATGGTTTTCCACTATTCAGTGGAATGAACAGTAGTACATTTTATGTCTCTAATTTTTTAAATAGAAACTTGGATGTTCAATTTTAAATATTAGCAGGAAGAAACAAACTGTCTGGGTTCTGTTAATGATTTCTGTGTTTGGAATGAGTGGTGTGGGCCAACAGTGGAAAGATGCCAACAGGACCATCATGCTCCCAACTTGGCAAATATCTGTATCGTCTCTAAGCATTTTCTGCCTTCGTAGTTAACACCAAAAATTCTGTAAATAGAAGTTCTGTATTCACTCTACAGCAGGAAAGAGCTGAATAATCAATATGCTACTGAGGTTCACTTCAACATTATTTTTTATCTCATATCTTTCATAATAAATCTTCAAAGGGAAGTGTGACATTTGAGTTGATTTGTTTCTTCTTGTAAGAGGAAGCAGAAATGTTTCAAAACATCCAATGATTAGCCTTAGTATTTGAGTCATGGTAATATAATAGTTTGTTTAGTTACTCTTTGCAAGCTGTTAAAGACAAATCTGTCCACTTTGGTGAAGTTAGATTGTAGTGCTTTGGATAGCTGAAAAAGCAACACACATGCACAACAGGGAAGTAAACAAAGGCTATAAATTTGAGTTAAAAATAATGTACCCCACATGAGTGGAAAGACTAGAAAAGGGCTAAAGCAAGAGCAGCTATTTCTCTCCAGTTAAGGTATATTTCTAAGTTGGTGGGTCCTCATTAATTTTGCTATTTCGTTTTTTAATTGAAATCCTAAGCAGGAAATAGCAGGAAACCAATAATACTACCTTGGGAGAGGTGTTGCACTTTGAAAAGGTAGAAGCCACTGGAGAAAGCTAATTTTCTGTGGATAGCTATTTCTGTACCTACTTTATTTCCTTAATGCATTTACTATCATGGTGTCAGCATGACTGTTTAAAGTGAACCCTTTCATAATCTAAAGATTTGAACCTTCTGTGCTTCTATCATTACCAGACTTGAGCCTTCTCATACTTTCTGAGAAGTACAAATAAATCTGCCCGTTGCCTTTTGTCCTAGATCTTCTCACCTTTAATTCTAAGTGTGTCTGGCTAAAATACACACAGGCAGCTGGAGTTATGAAGAATACCTGTATTATATAGCCAGTAGTGATGAGAGAATTAAACTGTAGAAGTTTTATTCTTGATTCTAAAGCAACTTCACAACTGTGAAGCAAGTAAGATAAGACATTGTAATGATAAGGTAGCAGTACCTGTGTTACAAATGTGTTTTGTTTAGTTTCAGCTTCTGAGCTGCTCATGAGGCTAATGAGGTCAACATTCAGTGAAGAATTATGTTTTAAAATAAGATACAAGCTGTATACACTGTTTATACAGTGAGAAGGTGTTTTATCATTGCCACTCATAATTCTTCTGCATGTATTATGCATATTACCTTGTTCATTTATGGTTTTTGAACTATGTAATAAAGAATGTATTTGTTTCCAGGATCACAGCTCTGCTTTGTTCCAGTTGCAGTGTTCTGGATAAAAATATCCTCCTGTTACGTGTTGTTATACAATAGATTGCTGCTGCACCGAAGCTGTTACTCAGAAGAAATGTGCTATGCAAGGGTGTTAGAAGTAGCCTGCAATAAAGGAAGCGTTGTGGTAGAAGCAAACCAGCATAGTGGCTAAATTGTGAAAAAAGGCATCTTGTTTGGAAATCGAATTTAATTAAAAAGCACTCTCAATCTCTAGTAATATAACTGCTTTAAATTTTCAGACAGTGGGAGTAGCTCACCGTTGCCCAAGTATGCCTCATCTCCCAAACCAAACAACAGCTACATGTTCAAACGAGAGCCCCCAGAGGGATGTGAGCGAGTGAAGGTCTTTGAGGAAATGTCGTAAGTAATGCCTTTTATATCAGCTGGTATCTGCAAAGCAGTAAACCTCTTTACTGAGCCTATTCAACTGCAGATGAATAAACTATTCCAGCTGATGGGTTTTGCAGGAGCAAACTATTCTTATAGTTTGTGCAAGAGAGAAGTTCAAGTGTTTACATTGGTGTGAAGAGAAAATGGAGTCTTTTACCTCTTTTTGTGCGTTTACAAAAGGCAACAAAAATCCAAGCAGGAAAGATAAGGTACATTAATTTCCTAAGCATTTATATAAAACTCTTTCCATGTATTTTTTAAACATTTTAAATTTTCATGGCTTAAGCAAAAACTCCCCTTGTCATAATTGCCCGTTTCAAGCATAGGTTGCATTCTGATGTGTATAAAACATAGAAAATGGAATGAAACGTACTAAAAGTGTTTGTTGATGGTAGTATGCTTATGGCATAGTCTTTGCTCAATATTTTTGCTGAGCAAGAAATTGGAAATTAAACTCTTGGACATCATGTCTTTTTTCCCTAGACCCAGCAGTATTTGAGCACAGCACATGCTGTTGAGGTTGCATGCTAAGCTCCTGTGGATGAAAGAATTAAGGAGGGGATGTTTCTTGCTCTAGCAGCATTCGTTGCCTTCTGGGTGGTAAAGGGAGCAATGTTGGATTGTGGAAAAAGCCTCCAGACAAATTATGGAATATGGGAAATGAGAGGTCTGTTTTGTGGAGGTCCTCAAAGGAATTTAAAATGACTAATTGTGTTGTTGCTGCATCGCTTATCAAAGAAGAATTTGTGCCATTCTAAATTAATCATGGCATTTTTTCATGTGCATATGTACTGCAGATTTTTTGTGCTGGAAGTTGCATGTTTGTCCAGTAATTACCAAGTCATTTTTTGTGATGGTACTATTTTTAATGCTGTGGATCAGTTAGCTGACTACCAATATGGAAGATGTTTGCCCCTCTGTCCAATTAATCCCATTCCTTGTCATTCACATTTTAGCAACGTATAGAACCACAAAGTTCATGATGTGAAGAGCATCTCAGCTGGCCAGATATATAATCTTTTTTCTCGTTGTAGGTCTCGCCAGCCTGTCTCAGCCCCTCTCTTTTCATGTCCTGACAAAAACAAGGTTAATTTCATCCCAACCGGATCAGCTTTCTGTCCTGTAAAACTCCTGGGCCCCCTCCTTCCCGCTTCAGACCTGACGCTGAAGAACTCTCCCAACTCTGGTCAAAGCACAGCTCTGAGCACCCTGACTGTTGAGCAGCTTTCGTCCCGGGTCTCTCTCTCATCTCTGTCAGATGACACCAGCACAATGGACTCCCTGGAGACCCCGGTACAGCCGTGCCAGCAGCAGCAGGAGATTCAGACTGAAGAGCATTCCTCTCCTCAGAGCTACGTGTTGATCTAGAGCAAGGTGGAGCAGGCCTCTGCCCCAGACAAGGAGGGAGGAGATCCTAGTTCAGATACATCTGCATGAGGTGGCAACCTTTCAGAACACCACAGAATACTTAGCAGCATTCAAAAAATATCTCAACACTGTTCTTGGCAGGGACAGAATCCATATTTGGCATTTTTTTGGTGAGAAAGCAGTAATGCCTGCAGAATCCATATTACATGAAATGTTTTAAGTGGAGACTATGCATTTCATAGTACGTTTGACCAGATTAGTACTGTGTCCTGTGTTCTGTTTCAAATTCTACAGTATAAATAAGCTCTCTCTATATATAAAAAAAATGTTGCCTGTCTGAATAGAAAATGTCTTGCTGTGTTGTGTCCTATGGAAAATACTGTACTTCAGGATTATGTTTACAATTGATCCAGGTGTTTATGTTTCTAACTTCTGTAATACACACAATGCAAAAAAAAAAAAAAAAAATGGCCACAGCAGTTGCACAGTGCCCACCCTATGGCCTAGCTTCAGGTACTTCTCTTGAAGTGTAAACTCAGGTAACTTGGAATGTATATCATATTGGAATATAAAATATTTTACAGCTACAAAGCTAAAGAGGGAACATCACTCTTTTGCCTTTCCTTGTTTTATGCATTATATTTCCTCATTACATTCCACTTTCTTGGAATAAGTGCATTCAGATCCAGGTGAATGATGAGCCTGGACATGGGTGAACATGAGGAGAACCAGCAAATCTGTGATGTATATCACTTTGTCATGTGCTTACAAGTAAAACAACTGTTGCATTTACTGTCATTTCAATAGATGTAAAATTGTGGCATTTAAAGGTTTCAGGTGTTGCTCAGTTAATGACTGTTAAACTGTTGCAAATAAAGTGTTCAGTACTAGGCTGTACATGAGAAACATTCCACATTGTGTGTGAGAGGATTTTGAAAGACAAGAATGTTTTTGTTAAAGGACAGAAATTCTTTTAGGTTTCACAGGGCGGGGAGGGGGGGGGTGATTGGGGATTTCCTCTCATGGTTTTTGTTGGCAGTTAAGGATGTGAAATGCTACTGTTACCGTCTAAAAGTCAAATTAATGTTTAGTTTCTCTTTTGGAAATGTTCATTCATTTGCTGGTTGGAAATAGGTTTTCAGATTTTGTTGAGCAGTGTTAGATGAGCAGCGTTTTATTTATGTAGTGAGTAATTGTGTTTGGATGAAAGTCCAGAAGTAGCAAGTGTGTGTTCTAAGAGGGGTGGGGAAAACAATAGTTTTAAGTTCATGTTACTTAAAGCTTCTCCCATAACTTTCAGTTACTTAAGCTGTGTGTGTAAAAGTGTGTTTTCCCCCCTCCTTAAGTGTAAATAAAAGAAAAATCCATGTAAAATAATCCTGGTTTTACAGGCTGGACACTGTCTCAAAATAGTACATGGCAAGATTGGGTTTGTGACACACTTCTACTGTACTAGAAAAAGAGGAGCATTGCTTTCAGAGATAATTTCCTGTGATACCAAGAGGACCCCAAAGGCAAAATAAACTTGATGTTCTTGCTCCATTGCTTTCAGCTCGGTGGAACTGCGTGTATGCTGTCTGCTCCTAAGAGAATAAGGTTCACCATTTCCAGGAATTGAAGAGATTAGTAGCCTGCAGCTACTAGGAGCATTTAAACATGCTCTGTTATGTTTTTTTCTGCTTTGGAAGATGAGATTGGAGGGGGATGAGAATGAGCCACCAGTAACTACTCACTAGATATGTGCTTTTTTTGGAGATAAAGCATTGCTTCCTTTTTATTATTGAGTTTTTGTTAACGCTGTCTTACAAGGTGGAATTCACAGCCTATAAAACATTCACTTTTTTTGACTCCCCTTGCAGAAAACGTAGGAGAGAGGTCTGTCTCTAACCATTTTCATGTGAAAAAGCTTGTTGAAACACAGCAGCCATCTTTAACCCTACTAATCTCAGGCCTAGGTGGAAACACTATATATTTTATAGACTGAAGATAAAGGGGAGGAAATACTCGTGATGTAAGTATCGATTCCTTTTAATACTTTTCTTTCTAGACTAACATTGCAGTATGATGACCTTTTTATGCTCTGGCAATGTCCAGATATGAAATTGTAGTCTCAGTTATTGGTGTTAGGTTACCAGGGGATATGATGAGTGGTTTTTAGATCAGTGCTGAACTCTGTACAATATTTGCAATGCCATTACATGTTCTTTATATTTTTTCCATGAGAAACTAAATATTAATTAAAATGCAGATTTGTTCTTAGCAGAATTGAAGGTTTTGAACCAAATGTGTTAAAGCTAATGCTTTGCCATGTAAATTTCCCAGCAGTTGTTTATCTCAATTGTATTCTACATCCAGCTGTAGAAATTTGTCAAATATTGTTTAAAGTTTTGTACATAGTTGTACTGTTATTTCTAGCCACTGTGCTGAACAGTATTCAAGTTATCACACAATATTGCTTTACACAAGGAAATGTGTGGCTTTTGTTTTGTATTTTTTTTCGGTATAGAAGTTCTGTGTCTTATTTAAATAAAAATTATAGTTAAAAAAAAAGTGGTGGGGACAACACACAAAAGCAGTGGTTCATTTCTTTGTTTTGGAAACTGTACATAGAACACCATAGAAGGAGATTAAATTTTAATATTGTTCCAAATTTACATCTAGAATAATGCCAACCATGTATGACTAGTGTGCTGTGTCTTCTACAACAAGACAGTCTTTTATCTATTGATTTTTGCATAATGCTGTGCTCAGGAGCAGGGAAAACCCCTTAAAATAGCTGAATGTTTAAATATACTTTAAATAGCATACTCTATTTCAACGTAGCACAGGAAAAAAAATCAGTTGAGTTGTTTGAAACTGTTTATCTGCTGCTGTGTTTGTGGTATGGCTAATTTCAAGTTATCTGTTGAAAATTATGAAAGCCATTAGATGTTTCACTATGTGAAACTAAACTCCTAAAGGATGTGGTACAAATCTACTGACAGTCTTGGTTTCATGTTGTTTTGTATGACTCAAATGATTGTCATTCGACTTGCAGAATAATTCTTTCCAGATGGGGGTGGGGGGTAAGGAAGGAGAAAGAAGGATAGTATTTAAATACATGTAAATCCTCCAAAGTCAGTGTTTACTGAAGACTACTATGGCAATAACCATCAAGAACGGATTAATGCTTATTGTCGTCAGTCAGTGGAAATTTTAAGTTTTCAGCATCCTAAAGATTACAAAGTTTTTATGTGACTGTGTTAAAAACATTAACTGGAACTTAAGTAAAAGTCCAGGGCCAGAAGCTGGACTTCAATGACCCTTGTGGGTCCCTTCCAACATAGGATATTCTGTGGTTCTGTGATCCCACCCACCTATGGGAATGCTTGGTGTCCTTCAGTCAGAAATGGCTTCATTTCAGCCTTTTCATCATCGGGTGGGACGGTGTTTTCTCAGGAAATACTTTGACAAAAGCCTGTAGCTTGCCCTGCAGAGATTTGATGCAGTTTGTGTCCCAGGGAGCTTTTAAGCATCCCCATGAACCTAGGCCTTGCCTGGTTAGTCACATCTTGGATTTTTTTCCATATGAGCCACACTTTGTGGGCTGTCAGTAACTCACTGCCTCTGTCTTCCCCAAAGCCAAAACAAGGAGTCTGAAAAGCATTGGGAGTAGAGAGCTAATGAAAAAATTTTGCCTTGAGTCCCTGTTTTGTGAACATAAGATCTTAGCTTGAGCATATATTTTTCTAGTAATTTGTGGCTCTGGTAGTGAATGCTTCAGAGGCTGGAGGTCTGTGTAAGGAGAGCCCTTGGCTGTGTGTGCTGGGGTAGGGGACAACAGACAGTGAGTGACCTACTGCTTTTAGGAAACAGGGTGCTGTCTGGGAAGTGATTTTTGGCTTCCTGACAAATCAGCTCTTGGGAAGGGCCAGGTACTGGCACAAGGATAGAATCTCAGAATCTTCACAGTATGCAAGTGTAAGGAGTAACACAAACAAGAGAAATGGTGATGTCAGCCAACATCTCTTAATTTATTCAGTTGTAAGCAAACACCGTGGAGGCTTAGCAAAACCAGCTCCTCCTACCCTGGCCTTCCTCCAGGGTACTGGATTGGGACCTTCAGACACTACTTGAGGTACAAGCCAAGCAGTTTGGAGATGACAGATAACTAGTAGAAGTTTACATCAATTACTGTTGTAAAACAGCCTGCCTTGCTGTGCAAAATACAGCCATGAAAACACAGATTTGAGGTAACTCAGCTCGGGGAGGAAATAGCCAAAGTTCCTACTATGTATATCCAGAAACTAAATGCAAGGAAAAAGTGAATTAAAGCTGGGAAAGCACACGCATTACACATACAGTCATCCATACTTGGTACTTGGCTGAAGGAAGCTGTTTGATGAAAGATTGACATGCAGTTAAAATATGTGTATCTTGTTTCTGTTTGTATTGGTGTAAACAGTCCTGGAAAACTCTGATTTGGGAGAGACTGTAAAAGGCTCAGGAAGAGCTATAGGAATAAAGTACTGGAAAAACTAGAAGGTGGCTGTGTAGGAGCTCAGCATGATTAACTTGATGGTTGAAGAGTGACTTAATTTCAGTTAGTAAATACCTACCCGTAGGAAATACTTACTAATGAGCCTTAAAGTTTAGCAGACATGGAATATTAAGCAGTAAGAAAATGAAGGTAGAGGACTTAATATTAAAAATGTGGATTTGTTTTAGCACTAAGTATAATTAATTACTGGGCCAATATGCAAGGAAAGATATTTTTCCCAAGTATTGATAGGTTTAAAATGAGATGATTTTACAAAGGATGTGCTCAAATATGGTTTTTATAAGCCTTACTAACTTGTGATTATTTGGGGCATTTTACATTTCAATTGATGGTTAAGAGGTGAAATTTTTTAATGACCCTAGGAATTCTTGCCTCACTAAAGAAGCACATGCTGCAATATTTTCAGCTAGGGTGTTAACACATCTTTTAAACTGTCTGGAATAGGGTTTTGAGGGTAACTTTTGGCTTCTGGGAATTTTTGGTCTGTCGAACATGAATGAGGTCTCCAGTAAAGTAGATCTAGTTGAGTAGCTTTATTAGTTCTTTTGATTTTGGCACCTCCTCTATAACAGCATAATTATGGAGAGGTGGTAAGAAACTGGAGAGTAGGAGTTGTCTTTTTGGAGGGCAACAGGTCCCAGAAATAATGTGTTGTTACTCACGTGGGGCTGAGAGGAGGTGGGGAGTTCCCTCAGTAAAGGCCACATTGGAAGTGAGTGAACATATAAATCAAACTGCACATTCAGTTGATGACAAGAAAAAAGAGCAATTAGATGAAGCTGGATAGAGAGCTGACCCCATTTTTAAGAATAGTTAAAATTTTATCTGAGGTTGTAAGAAGTTCTGATGGGAAATTTTAGGCTGGCTTGATCTGTAGCCTGGAAAGCTCAGATGCAGAGGAGCTGAAAGTCTGGGAGAAGATTGTGTAATCTCTTCTCCCCATTGAATTAGAGACTGAGCTTCATAACAAAGCACAGTTAGGCTGATAACTGCCTGTAGAAAAGTAAGGGGGTGTGTGTGTGACATTTATTTTTGTGTATGTGCACAGTGAAGTGTGTGTGGTTAAACTTTTCAGTGCTTTTTTGCAGCTGTTGGTTGAAGATAGGGTTTGCTCAGGGCAGTAGTAATACCCATGGTAATCTGTTTCTTGTACCTTTGTCTTTAATTTTTACTTCTGCAAATAAGTAGTAAGTAGCATAATCTAACACGACAGGTGTTAGTCATGTTAACTAAAACCAGGTGTCCACCTGCAGAGAGCAGGTGAGTGAGATCTGAGTGCTCTGAGATTTTTATGGACAGAGGTTCTTTCTCCAAGGAGGACAAAGCTGAAAGAGACTTTCTGTTAAAGTTGCCAAAAGTCTGCCTGATGCAATTACTCCCATTCTGAGTTTTATTTGGATAAGAATTTCTAGATGTACCCTATCTTTGTGATGCAGAGGT